CACAGTACTGAGAATCATGGCCTAGCCTAATTGATACACATATTTTGGGGGGACACAGTTCAGTCCATGACAGTCATATTAACTGATCTTCCTTGTAGGCATATGGATGTAATCCTATCACTGACAGTGTTGTACTTCAGGATAGATCTTGAAATGTTCTTTTTAACGGTGAACACAATGCCATTCCTCTTCAGTTTGTCATTGCCAGCATAGTAGACCATATGATTGTCCGATTCAGAATGGCCAATACCAGTCCATTTCCACTCAGTAATGTGTAGGATATCGATCTTTTTATGTTCCATTTCAATTTTGACCGCTTCTAATTTTCCTAGGTTCATACTTTGTACATTCCACGTTCTGATTATTAATGGATGTTTGCAGCCGTTTCTTCTTATTTTGAGTCACGCCACATAAGCAAATGAAGATCCCAAAAGCTTTACGCCATCCACTTCGTTAAGGTTGACTCTGCTTTGAGGAGGCAGCTCTTCCTCGGTGATCTTCTGAGTGCCTTCCAACCTGACAGGCTCATCTTCCAGTACTATTGTCAGACAGTGTTTTTGCTGCTATTCATAAGGTTTTCACTGGCCAATTTTTTCAGAAATAGACCACCAGATCCTTCTTCCTAGTCTGTCTTAGTCTGGAAGCTCTGCTGAAACCTGTCCACCTTGGGTGACCCTGCTGGTATTTAAAATACTAGTGGCATAACTTCCAGCATCACAGCAACATGCAAGCCACCACAGTACAACAAACTGACAGATGAGTGGTGGTTAGCAGGCTAGAAGTCTGAATTCTGGATGCCAGTTCTAGTGGAAGACTTTCTCTCTCTGTCTGCTCTGGAGGAAGATCCTTGTCTCTTCTGAACTTCTGCTCCTGGGCGATCTTCATGTGGCTTGGCACCTCTCTATCCCCATCTCTGCTTCTCTTGATTGCTTTTTTAATCTGTTTTATATCTCAAAGAGGTTGACTGAAGACACACCCTACACTAATTTTGTCTCATTAACGTGACAAAGACACCCCATTCCCAAATGGGATTATAACCACAAATATAGATATTAGGATTTACAACACATAATTTTGGGGGGATACAATTCATAACATTCCACCATTTGACTCCCTAAAAATCATGTCCTTGCCGCATGCAAAACGCATTCACCCCATCACATCATCCCAAAAGTCTTAAATCAACTCCAATTCCAAAATCTCATCTTCTGAATCATCTAAATCAAATATATGGGTGAGACTTTAGGCATATTCCATCCTGGGGCAAAATTCTTCTTCATCTGTGAACCTATGAAATCTAAATTACGAGTTATCTATTTCTGAAGTATAGTGGTGGAACAAGTACAAGGTAGACATTTCCATTACAAACGGGAGAAATTGGAGGGAAAGAAGGGATAATGGGCAGCAGCAAGTCTAAAACCCAGCAGAACAATTTATATTAGTTCTTAACACTTGAAAATAATCATTTGTTCTCTGAGACCATCTAGGCAATGGCCCTGCCCTCCAGGCTCTGGGAGTTGGTCATGCTCTCTGCATTCTGGTTGGAGGCCCCTCAGCCCTGGGCTTCAGCTCTGCCTTCCAGGCCCACTGGGATGGCAACTCTGCTACCTTGGCTTTGGGAGGCCCTATTTTCCTAGTACATCTGAGTGGCAACCTCACCCCCTTGGCCCTGGCAGGCCCTGTTTTCTGCCCCTTGGGTTTGGCAGCCCTGCTCCCTAAGCTTTGGGTGGCAGTGCTATCCCCTTGGCACACCTTTACTGCAGCCCCACACTCCAGAACAGAGTTGGTGAAGATCGTACTCTTTGGAATCTAGGAGGCTGTGGCCCCACGCTTTAAAACTGAGAAGGCCCTGCTTTCTGTGCTCCTTCCAGCAGTTCTACTGATCTCCTGAGCTGCTCCAGGGATGGTCTTTTCTTTTCATAGAGGACAACAGTTGTAGCTTGTTTGGCCTGTTTCCTGCCTGTAGCATTCCAAGAGGCAGACGGCATTCTTTTCCTTTTGTCCTTTGTCTGTACCCTTTGGTCTAAGCTGATGCGTTTTGTGCTATGGTAGTTGCTTAGATCCATTAATCACAGGTTTAATCTGTTTAACAAAAGATTGTGTAGGTATGTCCCTGGTGAAAATTCTAGGACACACGTCCTTAGTTTGTACAACAGAATTTTCCAAATCATTAAGTTTTGTTTTCCTTTTACACAATTCATTTTTAAGTCCATCTCTTTCCTCTCACATTTTACTATAAGCAGCAAGGAAAAACCACGTGGCCCCTTTGAGATCTTGCTTAGAAATCTCATCAGCCAGATATCCAAGGTCATCACTTACAAGTTCTACCTTCCACCAAACAATTGAACGTAATTCAGGCAAGTTCTTTGCCACTGCATAAGAAGCAGTCGCCCTTGTCCAATCTTATGTTCATCATTTTCTTTTAAAGCCTCACCAGAAGACATTTAACATCCACATTCCTAGCAACTTTCTGTTGCTGGCACCGTAGATATTCTCTAATATGGTAGAGACTTTCTCTTAGGCTCTCCTCACTTCCTTCTGAGCTCTCACCAGGACTGGCATGTTAAAACTCTTCTAGCCTGTACTCATTAGCCAATTCCAAAACCACTTCCACATTTTAGGTATCTGTTAGAGTTGCATCCTACTCTTCCGGGACCAAATTCTGTCTTAGTTATCTAGTGCTACTATAACAGAAATACATCAAATGCATGGCTTTAACAGACAGAAATATGTTTTCTCAGTTTAGAAGGCTAGAAGTCTGAACTCAGGGTGCTGGCTCTAGGGGAAGGCTTTCTCTTTTGGCTCTAGAGGAAGGTCCTTGTTTCTTCTGAACTTCTGCTCCTGGGTGAACTTCATGTGGCTTGGCATCTCTCTTCCCCCATCTCTGCTTCTCTCGCTTGCTTGTTTAATCTCTTTTATATCTCAAAAGAGATTGATTTAAGACAGACCCTATACTCATCCTGTCCATTAACATAACAAAAGAACCCATTTCCAAATGAGATTATAACCACAGGTGATTTACAACACATATTTTTGGGGGACACAGTTCAATCCATACCATCCGTCCAACATCATTCTTTTGCATGTCACTGCATGTATTTTTATTGCGATAAAATATGCATAATATGAAATTTGCCATTTTAACCATTTTCAAGTGTATAATCTCGTTGCACTAATCACACAATATTTTTTATCCAAATGTTTTAATCATCACCACTGTTTGTTTCCAAAACTTTGTCATCACTCCACGCGGAAACTCTACATCAGTTAGGTACTCCACATCCCTGTTCCCATCTCCCCCTCAGCCTCTGATAACTACTAATATGCTTTTTTTTCTTTCCGGATTTGCCTATTCTGGATATTTCATATACGCGGAATCATACAATATGTGACTTTTTGTGTCTGGCTTCTTTCACTTAGCATAATGTTTTCAAGGTTCATCCATGTTCTAGCATGTATCAGAACTTCATTTCTCTTTATGGCTGAGCAATATTCCATTGTGTATATATACACAACAATTTGTCCATTCATTTGTTGATGGACATTTGAGTTGTTTCCACCTTTGTGCTATTGTGGATAATATTACAATGAACATTGGTGTAAAAGTATCTGTTTAAGTACCTGCTATCACTTCTTTTGGGTATTGCCATGGATTGAATTGTGTCCCCCAAAAATATGTGTATCAATTAGGCTTGGCCATGATTCCCAGTATTGTGTGATTGTCCACCATTTTGTCATCTGATGTAATTTTCCTATGTGTTGTAAATCCTATCACTATGATGTGAATGAGATGGATTAGTGGCAGTTATGTTCATGAAATCTACAAGATTAGATTGTGTCTTCAGGCAATCTCTTTTGAGATATAAAAGAGAGAAGCAAGCAGAGATACAGGGGGACCTCATACCACCAAGAGAGCAGAGCAGAGAACAGAATGCATCTTTTGGACCCAAGATTCCTGCATAGAGAAGCTCCTAGACCAAGGGAAGATTGATGACAAGGACCTTCCTCCAGAGCAGACAGAGAAAGAAAGCTTTCCCCTGGAGCTGGCCCCCTGAATTTGGACTTCTAGCCTACTAGACTGTGAGAGAATAAGTCTGTTTGTTAAAGCCACCCACTTGTGGTATTTTTGTTACAGCAGCACTAGATGACTAAGACAGTTATATACCTTGGAGTGGAATTGCTGGGTCGTATGGTAATTCTATACAGCCCTGGTAGCACAGTGGTTAAGAGCTCAGCTGTTAACCAAAAGGTTGGCAGTTTGAATCCACCAGCTGCTGCTTGGAAACTCCATGGATCAGTTCTACTCTGTCCTGTAGTTTCACTATGAGTCGGAATCGACTCTATGGCAACTGTTTTTTTTTTTTTTTTTTTTTAAATAATAATTCTGTGTTTAACTTTTTTAGGAACCACCAAACTGTTTTCACAGCAGCTGCACCATTTTACAATCCCACCAGCAATGGATGAAGGTTTTAATTTCTCCACGTATATGATTTCCAAATATTTTCTCCCATTCTATTGGTTGTCTTTTCATTTTCTTGATGTCTTTTGATGCACAAAAGTTTTTTATTTTGATGTTTGTTTTTCTTTTATTCCTCATGATTTTGGTATCTAAGAATCCATTGCCAAATACAAGGTTCTGAAGATTTATCCCTGTGTTTTCTTCTAAGAGTTTTATGGTTTTAGCTCTTATATTTAGGTTGTTGATCTATTTTGAGTTAATTTTCATATATGGTCCTTACGTTTGTTGTTATTTCTTCAGATTTAAAGATTTGAGAGAGAAATTTAGATGATCATTGCTATTGTCTTTGTGAATTAATTTTTCACAGTTCTTTTTGGGATACATATGCTGTGTTCATCTGAAGAGTTTACACCCACCTGTTCTCTCACCAAATATGGTTGCATTTCTTTCCCTATTTTGTGTATTGGAATCTGAAAAGCAGTACTGATAGATGCAGTATGAATCAGTTTTTACAGTTTTTTCCCTTAATTTGCAATCTCACCTCTTCAGCTACAATATAGAGAATGCCAAGAACTTTTAAGCCTCTATCAGAAATATCTATCAGAACAGCAGGAGAAGCTCACCATGTCACTCTCAGAACTTGGTGCTGCTAAAATGCAAGAGCAACAGGTAAGCATCTTTACTCGTAACTGTTCTCTAATGCATCAGCAAGATGTGAGAAGAGTCATTTTCCTTTTCCTTTGTCTCAGAGTATATTGTTTAAAACATGTAAATATAGCATGTGATTGAGTTGGTGTCTTTGACCTCTGTCTTTCCTTTTCCTTTTCCTGTTCCTGGGGCCAGAAGTCAGGAATGATCACTTGAAGCAGGCTGTGGGTCAGTGGGGAAGCTCCTGGTTGTATGAAAGCACAGCAGGAATGGTAAAGAGAACTCAATGCTCTGTTGCTTAGTGAAGAAAATCAGATATGCTGCTTGTTATTCAGTGTCCTTATGGAAAACATTAATAAACCTTTCCTAACTAATGTTTACTTTTTTAGAAGAGTGAAAATGAAAATTGGAATATTTTCCGTGATTATATGTGTGTATATATGTATTAATCACACAAATATATGAGTCTTTATATATCAACATTTATATACATATCATCAAATGGTATTTATTATAAAGCTAAATGAATGTACAGAACCACACCATTTATGATATGAAAAAAGATACTTCTTGCCCCCTAACAGCTGATATTTGTTGTGTTTTTCATATCCATATGGATTTAAATCTTTAAGTAGATTAAGATAAGCTTTCTATATTAAAACATTGTTGAAAGAACTGAGTAGAGTCAAAGTCTTTCATAGGAAGTGCCAAAATATGACACTTCCTCTCCTCCTTTTTGAAATGGTATCAGTTCTTAAGATCAGACTTTAGGGGTTTTTGCAACCCTTCTAAAGGATACCATTGCTGTTCAGACTAGAGACAACTGTCTCAGACAGGTTAAGAATTTTGGCCAAGGGCTCTCCAGCTTTGAACCTGAAGTTTGGAAAAGTAATAATAATAATTTTCTGAAGTCACAAAATTTTCAAGAAATGGCCAAAGTATGGCCATTTTTTTGTCTTTTTTAAACTAAGTTTTATAAATAACATCTGATAACTCCGTGTATATAAAAACTAAACTCCAACAGCTGCAAGGAGTTGTCCGTAAGTTTACAAGAAAGGGCTTTTTTAAAAAAATTTTTTAAACTAGCGAAGTTTCTTTTACACTTTCTACCCTTTTCCATTGATAGGGTCAGATGTTGTTCTTGCATTTTTTTTTTTTTGGTTTTGTTTTTTTATAAAAAGATAGTTTTATAAATACTCTGCAGCTCTTTTTGTTTTTCCTTTAGCTTTTAAACATATAATTTAATAACTTTGTAAAGGAACTTATTTTCTCTTTTAAGTAAAGAGCTGTTTAACCACACAAATAGATCATGTAAACAGTGACACAGGACCCATGGCAAGGATACACTGGACACACCCTTCACAGACTCGCACAACCAGTGATTTTGATCTTGTTCAGTGCATTGCGTTAGGTTGGAGAGCTGCACCCTGTTTATCTATATTGTCGTTTGAAATATTTTCTTTCGTTCTGTTTTTTGAAAAGCTAGATTGTACAATGAGAGGGAAGAAAGTGGCAGCTTATTTTTAATTGTTTATATGAGTTTTACTTGCCACTTTGGAAACGGTCAGGTAGTTTTTAATGTGGTCTTTGCCCATTGCTCTTTTGGTCAGGCTAGAGAAAATGGTAGCTTGAAGATCATGTTTTTGATGTTTGTTTTTGCATTCCCGCTTCCCTCTGCGTGACATAGTTGTATTTAGAGGGCATACAACTGAAGGGCAACCCACTTTGCAAGGACATGGGAAGTGAGTGGGAGGGGCCTTCCAATTGCCAGTATAAATGCAGTCTTACATCCTTAAGGATACAGACTTGAGAAGTAGTCACCAGGGGACTCTATAGACATGTAGATAAAAAGGCCTAACTTCTTCTATTTACTTTTGAAAATGGGAAAAAACAAAACTTTGTTAGGTGTTAGTATTTTATGTTTAAGCTGGTGATTTCTTGGAGGTTTCACTAGAGCCCGATCATAGTTAAAACTGCTTCCCTTAACCTTAACCTTGAAGGGAAAAACTAAAAAAATAACAAGTACTAGAATGAAAATACTGCAAGTGTATGGGAAGAGTATACCCTCAAAAAGAGGACTACTTTTGAATTTTTGTTTTGACTTAATCCTGAGAAAATTTTAAAACCATGTTTTCAGGAAGTATTTAGTGGTCAGGGTTTGGATTATGTCTTATATACATTGAACATGAAACTGAGAATTGAAAGCTGCTTGTAGGCTCTGCCATTTGAATCTAGAGAGGGAAAATAAATTTCATTTTGGATACAAAGTGGAGAGAGTCACCTTGTTTCCCAAGATGTCTGGTTTGTTCTTTGTGACAGATTTCTCTAAGCTGAGCAAAGGAAAAGCACCTTCTCTTCTTTCCTCATGGGAAGTGGGTAAATTTAGTTGATAGGCCACTTCTTGGCAGGAAGGACATCTTTGTGAAGACTCTGAACCTGAATGGGTAAACTGACGTCATTCTCTTTGCCTTCCCCCATTTACCCTGTAGTGAAGATAAGCGTCCTCTTTATGTGCTCACAAATAGATTGTGCCCATCTCTGTCATAGTACCTTTCTTGTTTTGTAAAAATTGTTTATTCATCCGTTTCCCTCATCAAGCTTTTGTAAGAACAGGCATCATTTCTGCTCTTCTGCTCTTCTGACCTTATAAAAGGCCTGGTGCAGAAACTTTTCCACTTTTTCCATAATTACTTGTCCCCTGTTTCCTAATGTAGGTCTAGGTTAAAAGCTGACTAGGTACCCAAAATATGCTAAAGATAAGTTATTGCTGATTATATGTTATAATGCCTCTTGGTGCTTTCTGTCACTAGTCTCAGTAGTTTTATTAAAAGAGTTTTTGTACTGCTTAGGGCCACAGAGTTTTGGGATCACTTTCTGTTCTGTGACTGTTTTTGTACGTTCATTTGGTTAAATATGTTTGGTTAACTATCATATATAGACATGTAATAAATCTCCTTACCATTTTAATTCTAATTTTATTTTACATGTTTAAATATGTATTTGGTGTGTAGTATGTGTTTTACTTCTGTAATACTAAGCTATCTTCAAGTTGTAGATACTACTTTGTTATAAGAAGCCCTAGGTTTTATTGGCACTACAGAAGCTTCACCATACTGTCCAGAGGTATTCTAAGTGACAAACTAAATCAAAGAAGATATCATGCTCTTTGGATATCTGTAATATAATGTCTGGCTCAAGTGTGCTACTAAGCTCACAGAAAAAAAGTTTGTGCTTTCATAGGACTTATAGGACTAGTCACATTAAGTTTGATACTGAGTTGTGATTTAAAGGAGAAGATTCCATAACATAAAATATCAATTTTATTGACATTAGCCTTTTCATATTCAGCCTACATCCTGCAGTGACTCTGATCTCTTCGCTTCATTCAATCCCTTATGTACATATGTATGATATATTGATTTACTGTTTTCCAATTATTTGTCACCCTCCCTGTAAGTTGATTATGTCTCCCTACCTGTTGCCATGTGATCTTTGTGCCTTCCTATTGGAGGAGTTCATTTTCCCACCACATTAACGTCAGATGGGTTAGCCAAATCACTGGTTCTGTTTAGTAAGCAGAAATTGTATATGGCACATGCCAGTATGAAGCTTTAGAGCCATTTCCTTTTTCAGCCATGCTGTTTTCTCTTTACTATGAAAATGACGTATCCCAAATAGGAACTGCTCCTCCAGCTTGGACCCTAGAAAGAACAATGTGGAACAGAGCCTCAGCCAACTTATAATGTGCATGAAAAACTTTTGTTGTTGAAAGCCACAGATATATTGAGTCATTTGCTCTAGCTAACCTAATCTCTCCAATGAAATTAAAAACTTATTTTTGGACAGGACCAGTCCTTATTTATGTTTTTTGTTTTGTTTTTTTTTAAATCTCCAAACAAAAAAAGTCGAACTCATTGCCTTAGAGTCATTTCTGACCCATAGGGACCCTATAGCGGCCCTGTAGGATAGAGTAGAGCTGCCTCATAGGGTTTCCAAGGAGCAACTGGTAGATCTGAATTGCTGAACTTTTGGTTAGCAGCCAAACACTTAACCACTGTGCCACCAGGGCTCCATTTTTTATCTCTACACACCTAATTTGAGAATTCCCCTTTATAGCATACAGTTTCCTCAGTATTCTCAGTTCTGAAGTGGATATAATAATACCTACCTCATGGAGTTATTATGAAGATTAAATGAAATTATGTATTAAATAAGATCCACGAGTTGCACTATGTGCAGACCTTGGGGTTTAGAAGCTTACTCACTAGATAATTTGTTTTTTTCTGCCCCTTTAACACACACACACACACAAACACACACACAGACGGCTTAAAACAGTCATTAAACGTTTGTGTCTTGGGGATCAAACTTCTAGAATGTCGAAGTCAGGAGTCTGGCAAATCCTTTTTCCAAAACAATGCTAAAGCTAGACAATTTTGTCAAAAGCAATGATTTCAAGAGACTGGAAATCAACCAAAGGCGTACAACAAATTGGAAAGCATCTGTTCAAGAAAAGCAACTGAACCTTAGGTAAAAACAGAGGGAGCCTGTGGTGTATTTGCCTGGGACTGCTTCCATTCCTACCTCCATCTCTATTCATGCATTAGTTTCACCAGGGTGGAGCAAGCTGTAAAATGTAGCAACTTCACTGCAAAGGGAGATCCTTTGATTTGGAGCAGAGCACAGAGATAACCCATGCTCCTGAGCATTGTCTAAGACAGTACCAGTCTTGGCAACAAGAGGGTAGTCAGCATCACAGCTGACTTGAGATTGCCATCTGGTCAGGGCAAGCATCATATTAGCAGGCTAGCCAGAAATTTAACAGAGAGATTGGGGGAATGAAACAGCCATACTGGGCCTTGATAAGCTTCCACATATTTTTGGCTTTCTGGAAGGCTTCATACATGCTTAGAGCTGCACACACATGCAGGAGACACCAGAGAGTGTGCTAACTAACCACACATCCCCGGTTTAATGTGAGTCCTGGTACACATGGAAAGGAGACAAGAGAGGGCCTGATG